GAGACAGTGTAGCACTCTTTCTCCCTGGGTAAAGTGCCATGGCATCATAGCTCACAGCAATCTCAAACTCTCCAGCTCAAGCAATCCTTCTGCCTCAGCTTCCCAAGCAACTGGGACTATAGGGGCCCACTATAATGCCTGGCTGTTTTTTGTTCGGTTGTTAGTAGAGACAGGGTCTCACTCGTGCCCAAGCTAGTCTTGAACTACTGAGCTCATGTAATATACCTCCCAGAGTGCTGGGATTACAGATGTGAACCACCGTGCTGGGCCAAAATTTTAACTATTTTAAGATACAATTCAGTGGTATTTAGTACATTAACATTGTTAAGTAATCATTACTACCATCCATCTTCAGAACTACCTTTAACTTGGAAAGCTAAAACTTTGTTAAAGGGGTATGCATCTTGCAGTCCATGGGCTGCTTGCAGATTATTTGAGGACTGTTTTGCTTATTTGTGGTGTCAGATATCATGAAAAGTATGTTAACCAGCCTTCTTTGGTGTTTGTGTATTTAATGTGTGGCCCAAAACAACTCTTTCTTCCAATATGCAGCAGATAAGAAAAAGTGTTGGACTCCCCTGCTTGAACTCCCTATTACCTGCTAATTTTAGCCCCTGGCAGCCATCATTCTATTTTCTGTCTCTATGAATTTGACCTCTATAGGTACCTCATATAAGTCGAATCATACATACAGTGTTTATCTTTTTGTGACTGGCTTTTGTCACTTAGCATAATATCTATCCATGTTGTAGCATATGTTAGAATTTCCTTCCTTTTCAAGGCTGAATAATAAATATTCCATTGTATGTATATAACACATTTTGTTTATCCATTTATCCCTCGATGGACACCTTTTGGGTATTGCAGATAATCCTGCTATGAATATGGGTGTACAAATATCTCTTCGATTCGAGACTCTGCTTTCAATAATTTGGATATATACCCAGAAGTGAAATTGCTGGATCATGTGGTAATTACTATTTTTAATTTTTTAAGAATCCACCATACTGTTTTCCAAAGTGGCTACACCATTTTATATTCCAACAGTGCATAAGAGTTCTAAATTCTCTACATCCATGCCACACTTGTTTTCTGGTTGGTTTTTTTTTTTTATAGTAGCCATCCTAATGAGTGTGAGATGATATCTTATTGTGGTTTTGATTGTCTTTTCCCCCAATAATTACTAATGTTGAAGCTTGTTTCATGTGCTTATTGGCCGTTTACATATCTTCTCCAAGGAAACATGTATTCAAGTCTTTTGTCCATTTTTTAATTGAATTGTTTGGATTGGGTTCTTTTGGTTAGTTGTGATTTATAGGAGTTCTTTTTGTATTCTGGATACTAATTCCTTATTAGGTAAATGATTAGCAAATATTTTCTCCATTTCATGGTTGCCTTTTCACTCTGTTTATTGTGTCCTTCAATGCACAGAGATTTTTAAATTTGGTATGGGAAACACTTTTAAGGATTCTGTTTCTCATTTGATTTTTTTAACAATTGATGATTCTTATTTAAAAGGATTATTACTATGTAGAACTGGTAATTTTCTGACATTCCTCCTACATATAGTCGGTTTGTTATAAGGAAGAGCATTTTCTTCTACCCTGTTTATTGATCTGACTGTTCCAGTTGTCCTAGATTTGGCCAGTGAGAGGCCTTTTAAGCTGATATCTGTGTCCTTTTGAAATGACACTTTTTGTTTCTTGTTAATAGTCAAGTCACTTAATGTGTTATTAGATAATTTCATCATTTTGTGAATATTGTACAGTGTACTTGCATGAACCTAGATAGTATAGCCAACTACATACCTGTGTTATGGCCTATTGCTTCCTAGGTTACAAACCTGTGTACATAGTGGTACTGTACCAAATATTCTAGGTAATTGTAACATAATGGTTAAGTATTTGTGTGCGTAAATAATCTAAAGATAGACAAGGTCTACTAAAAATACATTATAAAAGAAAAAAATACCTGTACAAGGCAGCTCCATTATAACCTTATAGAACCACTGTTGTATATATGATCCCTCATTGACCAAAACATCATTATGCAGCATATGACTATACTGCATTACCTTCTGGTACAGAAAGATTTTCCACGTTTATCTTAATGTGGAAAGTTTCTCTACTGCAATCCTGCAATCCTGCAACTTAGTTGCAGTTTCTCTACTGCAATCCTGCAACTAAGTATTTCTCAGAGGAACCCTGGTTTCTTTTAGTTGGAGAATGGTATTTTGAAATGAAAATCTAGGTACTGGGTGTGCTCTTGTTTCTGGGGTATTTGGACTCTAAGTCCTTTTAATGTATAGAGTTAAAAAATGTGAATATGTAAATACATAAAACAGACAATAAAAATAAATGTTATACCTCCTATAGTAAATCTAGTGTATGTTTATTGGAAAACATGAGTTCACATCTAATTTTTCCAATTCCAGTCTATCCCTACAGGATTCTTTCCTTCCTTAGCCCTGATCTGTATTTCTTTCTTCTTTAGACATCTGGCTCCCCAGAATGTCACCACTTTTTCTCATTTTCTCAGTGCATATAAAATATGAATTACTACACTCATACAGCTACAGAAAACAAACCTACTAATGAGTTCAAGGTTTTGTTTGGTTTGCCATTTTCCAAACCTGCCCTTTCTCTACCCTCAGAACTGAGACTGGAGTCAGAATATATACTGTGTTCAAGAGTATGTATATCTAGTGTTTGCTTTTTTTTTTTCTTTCAGTGTGATTATGTTATTTATTTGAAATGTATCTAGATTCACTTTATTCTGTTTATAGTTAGTAGTTTTAGTTTTTCCCCTCTATCCTTGATTTTTTTTTTTTTAATTAGAATCTCACTCTATTGCCTAGGCTGGAGTGCAGTGGCATGATAATAGCTCAGTGCAGCTTCGAACTCCTGGGCTCAGGCGATCCTCCTGCCTCAGCCTGTCAGATAGCTAGGACTATAGGTGTACACCACCACACCCAGCTAATTTAAGTAAATATTTTGTAGTGACAGAGTCTGGCTATGTTGCCCAGGCTAGTCTTGAACTCCTGGCCTCAAGTGATCCTCCCACCTCAGCCTTCCAAAGTGCTGAGATTATAGGTGTGAGACACCATACCTGGCTTATTTTTAAAAATTGTTTGATAATGTAAACTTTAATATGCTTCTGAACATTAAAACTGTTCCTCCCTTACTTCTTCCAATTATTCCCTCCCATCCTTTGAAAGTAACTAATTTCCTTGTTTCTGGTTCTTGCTTTCCTATGTTTCTTTTTGCAAAAGTAAGCAGATAGGTATGAATATTTTCTCATTTCTTCCTTCCTTCTTACATAAAAGATGTCATACTATTTATGATCTTTTGTACTTTGCTTTTTTAACTTAACATAATTTGGAAATTCTTCTGTAGCAATTTCAAGAGATCTTCATTTTTTTATAATACTTGCCTAAATATTAGGACATCTGTGTAATTTCCAGTATTTTGCAGTGACCAGTAATGCTGGTATGAATAACTATGTTATTTAAATTTTAGTCTACAAAAAAAAGAATAAAATAAATGATAAATTTTAGTCTATTGATTTGACATTGAGATTGATTTTTAATTTTTGCTTTGTTTTCTCTTACATACTTTTAGAAGTTAAATTTAAAATAATTTATCTTTTTCTACATTTACCAGTTGACTCTTTTCCCATCAACAGGTAGATTTAGATGTTACATTACCTGGGGAAGGTGGAAAAGATCGACCTTTTAAGGTGTCAATCAAATTTGTCTCTCGGGTGAGTTGGCACCTATTGCATGAAGTACTGACAGGACGGACCTTGCCTGAGCCACTGGAATTAGACAAGCCAATCAGCACTAACCCTGTCCATGCCGTTGATGTGGTGCTACGACATCTTCCCTCCATGAAGTGGGTGCTTCTGGCTTTTCTTCCTCTTTAGATTTTATATTTGAAAGTTTTCCTCCCAAGAATGAGTTTTGCAGGCTCCCCTTGGTTAACCTTTGTGTTTTGTATATTTTGATTGTGTAACTGAAATGTAGAATAAGAATAGTATGCATACAGATTCACTGACAGAAGTAAGTTACAAAAAATTCTTTTAACTTTTGCAAGTAAACTACACATCATTGTTTATTATATACAATTATATATGTAAACAAGCATTATTGTGCCCTCTAATACTAGCTTAGCTACTCTAATGAATACTTTAGATCTATTTTTGGATATATTCCTATAGTTAAATCATCTTGTTTTCTAAATAATTTCACTGTTTATACAGTAGTATTAAATTGCTACTTTTTAATCACATTAGCACCTTACATGTGTGAATATGTGTGTGTATCCACACATAGGATCAGTATTTTACTTTTTTTTTGAGACAGAGTCTTCCTATGTCAACCTCGGTAGAGTGCTGTGACATCACAGCTCACAGCAACCTTAAACTCTTGAGTTTAAGCAATTCTCTTGCCTCAGCCTCCCAAGTAGCTGGGACTACAGGCACCCACCACAATCCCTGGCTATTTTGTTGTTGTTTTTGCAGTTGTTGTTGTTTAGCTGGCCTGGGCCAGGTTTGAACCCGCCAACCTTGGTTTATGTGGCTGGTGCTGTAACCACTGTGCTACAGAAGCCAAGCCAAGATCAGTACTTTTTTTTTTTTTAAAGAAAAATAGTATGTCTTGTAAGCACATTTATAGAAATAGCTTTTTTTTTGAACAGAGTTTCACTCTGTCGCCCTGAGTAGAATGCCATGGCATCATCATAGCTCACAGAAAGCTCACACTCTTTGGTTCAAGCAATCCTCTTGCCTCAGCCTCCCAAATAGCTGGGGCTACAAGTGCCCACTATGATACCCAGCTAATTTTTCTATTTTTAGTAGAGACGGGGTCTTGTTCTTACTCAGCTAGTCTCAAACTCCTGAGCTCAAGCAGTTCCCCCACCTTAGCCTCTCAGAGTGCTAGGATTATAAGTGTGAGCTACCATGCTTGGCCTTAGAAATAGCTTTTTGATCAATAATTACTCTTAGCATTTTTAAGGTTGGAACTGTTAACATTTTTAAACCTACTTTTAAGAAAGTATATTAAATAAAATTTTTTTCTTTTCAAGCTAACATTAGTTTTGAGAAAGGTGAATTTTGGTGAATGACAGTGGTGGATTTTTTTCATTTAGAAAGGTATATAATACTTTTTGCTTTCACAAGTTCAGAAAATGTTTAGTTTATATTCATAATGAAAAGCATCATTATTATAAATTGTACTCTAGTCTTCCTTGTTCTGCAGATTTAAATATTTATATGGAAAGGAAAAATTTGAACATGCCATTTTAATTTTTGTAGATATACACCTGTGGGGCGTTCCTTTTTCTCAGCTCCAGAAGGATATGACCACCCTCTAGGAGGGGGCAGGGAAGTATGGTTTGGATTCCATCAATCTGTTCGGCCTGCCATGTGGAAAATGATGCTTAATATTGATGGTAAGGGAACAAAAACCATATTCTGTATTGGGTAGTTGATTTCTATAAGATTTGTGTTGTGTATGTAAATTTTATATATAATTATATGTACTTGTGTCTTACAGTAATATTGGACATATGTTATGATATACTAGAAAAACCTTTATATTTTTATTACATGTTGTTCAGAAAGTCTCTATACAGAACTTATTCTGGAATGCTACTAAACACTACTAAACATGAAGCAAGCACATGAAAGTAAATTTTAAAAGCCCTGACACATCATCTGAGCTATCTTACTACAATTCACTTTTGTCCTGTGAGGATTTCATTATGAAATACGTATTTAAAGAAAGAGAAGGCTCAGCACCTGTAGCTCAAGCGGCTAAGGCGCCAGCCACATACACCTAAGGTGGCAGGTTCGAATCTCCAGCCCGGGCCCGCCAAACAACAATAATGGCTGCAACCAAAAAATGGCCGGGTGTTGTGGCGGGCGCCTGTGGTCCCAGCTACTTGGGAGGCTGAGGCAGGAGACTCGCTTGAGCCCAGGAGTTGGAGGTTGCTGTGAGCTTCCATGCCACAGCACTCTACCCAGGGGGATAGCTTGAGGCTCAGTCTAAAAAAAAAAGAAAAAAGAAAAAAAAGAAAGAGAAGTTTTTTTGTCCTGGTGACCTCAAGTGCTGCACCTGCTAATGGTCTTAATGTGATGCTAGTTGCATTCTCAGTTTTAGGTGTTTTCTTACAAATATTTTCTTGCTTATATAAAAGTAGAGAGAATGGCATGGTGAACTGCCATGTATGTCGCTGTTCTTCAGATTGTCAGGGTGTTTCTGTTTTTGCCTAATATACATTTCCTCCTTTACTGTAGTATTTTAAAATCAAATCCCAGACAACATGTTGTTTTGTCTATACTACTTCAGTTTGCACCTCTAAAAACATGCATGTTTTCTTACACAGCAACATGCCATCGTCGTATGTGATAAAATTCAAAATAAGGATTTTGAGGTAGCTTATGCCTGTAATCCTAGCACTCTGGGAGGCCAAGGCGGGTGGATCGTTTGAGCTCACAAGTTCGAGACCAGCCTGAGCAAGAGTGAGACCTCCGTCTCTAGAAATAGCCAGGCATTGTGGTGAGCAACTGTAGTCCCAGCTACTTGGGAGGCTGAGATAAGAGAATCACTTGAGCCAAGAGTTTGAGGTTGCTGTCAGTTATGATGCCACAGCACTCTACCCAGGGTGACAAAGTGAGACTTTGTCTCAGAAAAAACATTTATTTATACCCACTAATATCCTGTCCATGATCATCTCCTGATAGTCTCAAATTGTCTTTGTCTAGTTTGTTGGTTCTAATCAGATTCTAAGCAAGATTCATACCTCACATTTACTATGTTTTTAATCTAGTAGTCCCATTTTCTTTCCTATTACCTGTTTCCTTTTTTATGCCATCGACTTATTACAGAAATTTGGTCATTTGTCCTATAGAATACCCCCCAATCTGGATTTGTCTTTTTATTTTCTTGTATCATTACCTTGTTCTTCTAGCACCTGTGTTTATTAAAAATGAAAGCCCTAGAAGTTTGATTCTGTTCTGGTTCAAAGCATTTCATAAATGCTTTTATGTTGTATAATATTAGAAGACAAATAACATCTAGTGATCCCAGTTTTAGTGATGCTAAAATTAATCCAGAGGTTCAGAGCTTAATCAGTAGATTTAGAGATCTCTCCATTGTAAATTTTCCAGTCAACCTTATAATTACTAATGTTCTATTCATTGATCATTGTTGCCTGATTTACTAATTTCACTAGGGATTATCAGTTGATAATTTTTCTAATTTTCTTGTTCTTTTTGCATTAGATGGAATTTTTATGTGGAGAAGCACAATATACTACTGATAATTCATTAGTGCTTAATTGCTTTCTTGCTTTCTGACACAGAAGGGTATTCCAGATTCATCTTGTTTTTCCTGCTTAGTACCTGGAATTAGACCAGGACTTTTCAACCTGTGAGTCGAGACCCCTTTGTAACAATGAAAATACATCACAGCATTAGAAAGGTTGAGAACCACTGAATTAGACTTTCCTTGAAGGATCTTTGCATCTTTCCAGATCAGTACATAGTTTTTTTAGCTGCATCTACTGTTATGTAATACGTGGGGTGGGCTGGGGAGAGAAGGGTATATTTAACCGATGTCCTTTACATCAGTGGTTCTCAATGTTCCTAATGCCTCAGTGTATTTTCATTGTTAGAAAGGGGTCACAACCCACAGGTTGAGAACCGCTGCTTTACATGTATACCAGGGTTGTTTTAATTTTTTGCTATTTCAGATTATCATTTAATGTCTATTTAGATGTATCTGTCAGATAAATTCCTTGAGGTGAGATTGATGGGTCAAGAGTAAATGTATTTGTAATTTTGCTTATTATTGACAGATTGCCCTCCATAGAAGTTGTAAACATTTTTCATCAGTGAGAACCCTATTTTCTTTTATCTTTGCAACTGGAGTTGTCAAACTCTTAAATACGTTGTCAGATTTGTAAAAATAGTTTGCTTATGTACTTTTAATTTGCATTGACTACCTTTTCACATACATAAGGGCCACTTGTATTTCTCTTTTTTTTTTTTTTTTTTTTTTGAGATGGAGCCTCAAG